GTCTTATTTTCGGGGTATTAGGGCTTATATTGCACACATGCTTAGACATCCTGCTAGGGCTTATTTTATGGGTAGCTCTTATTTTGGGGGAGACATGGTATGTTTTTCTACTTTTGCAAAGGGTCAGCTGGGACAGCACTCCGCCTTCATGCCTGTGTCCTGCCATCCCCCAACGTTCCGTCAAACCCCGTCTGTGTGAGTCCCTATGTTGCGGCAAGTGTACAGCTAGCGTTACAGCTCTTGACCGGGGAAAGAACCGAGCGGCACACGAAGAGTTGGAGAGCAGCCTTTAGTCCTCCACAGCAGGCTCAGCACACCTAGTGTTACAGCTCTCTTCCTGTCCTCTGACCTTCTGACCCTTCTGCCCCTTCCTTGTTCTCCTCCTGCATTTATACCTTTGGCAGGGCTCAAGAAGCGTCCAATCAACTACAAGCTTTAACATCAAATCAACATCTACCTTTAACATTCAATCGACAACAAGCCTTAACATCCAATCGACAACAACCTTTAACATCCAATCAACATCTACCTTTAACATCCAATTGACAAGCTATAACATCCAATCGACCACTAGCTTTAACATCCAATCAACATCTACCTTTAACATCCAATCGACAACATGCCTTAACATCCAATCAACATCTACCTTTAACATCCAATCGACAACAAACTTTAACATCCAATCGACCACTAGCTTTAACATCCAATCAGCATCAACCTTTAACATCCAATCGACAACAAGCCCTAACATCCAATCAACATCTACCTTTAACATCCAATAGACAACAAACTTTAACATCCAATCGACAACAAGCCTTAACATCCAATCAACATCTACCTTTAACATTCAATAGACAACAAACTTTAACATCCAATCAAAAACAGCGGGATTCAAAATTTACCCAATCAGGACCACGCTAGCAGCGTGGCGGGAAACAGGCGGTGGCACGCAGGCCCGGTGGCGTTCTGGCTCTCTGCCGAGGGGCTGGCCCCAGCAGTGCGCCCTCCAACCGGCCACGCGCGGCGCTGGCCCGCGGAGATGTGGATCATCGGGGAGGCAGCAAGCGGCCGCGTCCCGGCGCCCGGCATTTTCCGTGTCACCTACAGAAGGGACGGCGGGTGGTGGGGGTTCCCGTGGGGGAGGCAGTGTCCCATCTCTGTCCCATATCGGGGACTGGTGACCGCAGAGCGCTAGCCATGCAGCGCTTCGTGAGACTGAAGAACTGACCTTTACATTTTCCTTAATTTTACTAATTTAAAGTTAAAACAGCCGCCTGTGGCCGGGGGCTACCGTCTTGGACGACACAATTGGAAATAGGATGTTCTCACAGGAACACTGAGACAGACTGCAGACAGGGCCGGCTGTGCCCGCCCTGCCCGTGGGGGACGCAGGCCGGCGTGGCCCCCAGGCACCGTGCACACGCAGCCCAGCACAGCCGGGCCACAGCGGGCCACACACCGACTTCCGACTCGGGCTTGGTGAGGGGAGCGAGTGCGAGAAGTGCACTTTCTGGGTCCTCTCCCAACCACCTCGCCCTGTCCCCGTCCAGCTTCAGCAGGAGTCTGACCCGATGGCTTAGTGATAATCATCCAACCCGATTGATTAGGAGGTGATTTTATTTTTTATGCCACACTCATCAAAGACACAAAGCTTCCTGTGAGACGTTTTAATCGGGAGTCTGCCTTGGTGTTCCATGGCTTTTGAAGAACCGGCTACTGGCAAATATCCGGCTGCCTCGATTCTGCGCTTTCAGCCCGAGAGGCCACAGCTGCCCGCAGACGCTGGCGAGGAGCCCTGCAGAGCCGCGCCCGGTCCTCCAGCGCAGTCCGCAAGAGACCACGGTGGCTTCCTCGTTTAGAGAAGCCAGAGCCCCGAGGACAGGGCCGCGGTGCTCTCTCTAGGGGTCTCTCGACGGGCAACGGTTCCCTGCTTTGCTTTCGTCCCGCGATTGTCAACAGCGTGCGTTAAAGACTCTTTCCGAACCTGAATTCTCTGAGCTCTTCCGCAATGACGCGGACAGGGAGACTGACAGCCGCGCTGTTGCTAGTTCTCTCCCGCTTGTCTACATTCGTGCGTTTATTAGTCTACTCACTGGGAAAATCGGAGCCTGCAGCGGGCAAAGCTGTGGCTAAGCTGAAGAGGTGCTTGCTCGGAAATCCTGGCGAGCGGGCGAATCCATCTGCTGCTTGTGAGGCACCGGCCGCGTCCCTGGCGCTCGCTGTGCCGCCGCTGCGCGTGGACCCCGGGCGGCGGGGACTGGACCGCAGGTGGTGACCCAGGGCAGGGGACACTGGTGCCAATCTCCCCGGCTCTGTCCTGCCGCTGTGTGCCGTTAGGTCTGATCCTCGTTCAGTGGGAAGGGAGAGCAAGGAGCAGCTACCGCAGTCGGCCTGGCTAGCCGCGGTCTCTGTGACGTCCCACCCTGTCGGTGTGGGCCGGTGGCCGGTGGCCGGGCAGCCCACCCGGAATGGGCAGCGGGCTCGGAGACCCCCTCCTCCTCCTGCCCCGAGCCGTGGTCCGGCCTGGGCAGCTGCTGAGCCTCAGTTGGTCCTTCCCAGCACGGAAAAGGCGTCTGGCTCGTGCCACGCCCAGTTTCTGTGTGTCTCAGGGGGAACCTGCCCGGCAGGTAAGAGGCACAGAGGCGAGCAGACTTGCGTGGAGCCAGGGCCTGCACGTGGAGCCAGGGCCTGCACGGGAGACTGGCCGGGGCGTGGCTGGGGCTGGGGTGGGGGGTCCCCCCAGAGCTCCGGTTCTCAGATTGTTCATGCCCTTGGCTTGAGTGGCGCTGACCACGGGCGGTGGGTCTCAGCCCGGGCGGTGGGTCTCAGCCCCGGCTGTGCACCACACACCCCGCAAGGAGCTCTTGCTAGACCCCGATGCCTGGGGCACAGCTCGGGCCCGTGGAATAAGAACTGCGGGAGGGGGGTCTAGGCACCCGCATTTTCTTGAAAAGCACCCAAAGTCACTCACCTTCCCAGCCAGAGTCGAGAGGCCCTGGTGTAGGATAAAAACTAGAACAGCCGGGCCAGGACACAGACCGTGGCCCCCTCAGCACCAGCTTTGGCTCCCCCAGCCCCTGTCGTCCTGGAAATCTTTGCGCATTTACCCTATGAGAAACTGAAACGGAGAAAACATTTTAAAACTATTTTAATTCATTTGAAAATAACAATAACCCCATTGTGTGATAACATAAATAACATTTTTTATTAAAAGTCATTATATTTTGCAAAAGAGGAAAGAAACGAGTGGCCTTCATCTACACGTGCTCGAGTGTCTCCCGTGTCTGGTTCGGGGGGGGCAGCTGGGCTGGCGCCGGCTCCTGCCCATGGCGTGTGCGGCCGATTGGGATATGAGGGGGTAGTCCAGCCACGGGAGGACTGGGAAGGATTTTTTAAGGCCCTTTTCAGATTATCACGGACATTCATTATTATGGACACCCAGATGGTTGCTCTTCATAAAAGCCTGATGCAACGGTTTCTCCCAGGGTAACGGCCTGGTTGAATCTGAACCGCTGGGTGGAGCACACTTGCTCCCCAAACTGACACCCGCCAGTCCTGCCCTCTGGGGGGTCTTGTGCCCGTGTCCAACTCTGACCTCATCCATCAGCCATTTGGAACACACCGGTTTGTGATCCGTGCAGATCTGCCAGACACCTTAGAGAGGCTGAACACGCGAAGGAACGGTGGGCGGACGGCACGAAAGCAGAGCTCTGGCCACGCCGGCCCGGACCAGCCCGGGAAACCAGCCCATTGCCTATAGACACCGGGGAGGAGGCCCAGGAGTCGGCACTGGGGCAGGCAGGGCGCGCGGGGCTGTCTCGAGCGCTGCCCTCTCGTTGGAGGTCCAACGAGAACCACGGCCGCCACTGACCCAGGATGGCCGGGGCTTGAGGAATAACCAGCAGCTCCCTAATTCCCGGGCCTGCTTCCAGCCCAGGTCCAGCCGAGACCACAGGGCGCCCACTCCCAGCTCCCAGCTGCGGCGTCCCAGGCCCCGGCTGCCATCAGGGCGCACCTGGCGCCTTCCCCGTCTGCACAGAGGGGGGGTCTCCCGCCCCCGCCCGCCCATGAGTCTCTGCCAGACTCAAGCGTGGTGGCCGCCCCTGCCACGGCGAGCCCTGAACACCCAGCCTCTGCGGCCACTTACGTCAGTGGTCTTTGTTTACTTCCACGCTTCTGTTACATTAATATCAAATAGATTACCAAACAATGACGCGAGTTAATATTGCCACCCGTCCTACAAAAAGAGCCTTTCACTGTTATAAACTGTCAAGCTCAGAGCGGTGAGTGAAAGGGTCTCCTAAATCTAGGTTTTACCTGAAAGCTCAGATTTTTTTTTTTTTTTTTTTTTGAGACAGAGTCTCACACTGTTGCCCGGGCTAGAGTGAGTGCCGTGGCGTCAGCCTAGCTCACAGCAACCTCAAACTCCTGGGCTCAAGCGATCCTCCTGCCTCAGTCTCCAAGTAGCTGGGACTACAGGTGTGCACCACCATGCCCGGCTAATTTTTTCTCTACATATTTTTAGTTGTCCAGATGATTTCTTTCTGTTTTTTAGTAGAGACGGGGTCTTGCTCTTGCTCAGGCTGGTCTCAAACTCCTGAGCTCAAGCGATCCTCCTGCCTCGGCCTCCCAGAGTGCTGGGATTACAGGCGCGAGCCACATCCCCTGGCAGAAAGCTCAGATTTTATCTTGAGCAGCAAATGCCACCAGTTCCTTCCCGTGGCGTGACGGGCTGTCACCGAGTGTGGGTTTGGATGCAATCGTTTCTCTGTTAATTGATCTTTCAAGTAAAAACAGTGCCCGTTGAATGGAAAAACAAACACAAAACGTAACCAAACTACAACGGCCAGTGCAGCGTGGCTCAGCCCCAGGCGCCTCCCCAGAGACGCAGCCGCCTCCCAGGGCGAGGGTGGAGGTGCTCCATGCATGTCCGCCCGTCACACAAACACGCGTGTCCACCCGTCACACAGACACGCCACGGCCACGGGGGGCGGGACTGAATGATTAATAACTAATCTCACTGCTTAATTCTGGGCGTTCTTAAGTGGCACTGGGTTTTGTTTTCCTTGTGAGCGGGTGGTGGTGAGGAGCACCGTGGCCCCGTGGCTCGTGGCCCACGTACCTGCCTTGCCGTGGAGCCAGTGGTTCTAACCATGACAGCTTTCACTCCAGCAATGCCAGGTACAGACAGTGGAAAATCTGCCTTAGCCTCATGACAACAAGCCCCTTGAGGGCCCCTGGAGGGGTCTCAGGACCCCAGAGTCCAGACAGGACTAGGGGACCCCCTCCCCCCACGCTGCAGCCTGCTCTTGGCACCCTGGCCCAGCTGTGAGCGTTGGTGACGTCTCTCCACTTCTGGGTTTGTGGTTGCTTGGGGTCTGCAGGACAGGACGGCTGCCGTTTATATGAGGCCCCTGGGAACGGTGTGGATGGAAGAGAGGCTGGTGGACGGCGGTGATCGAGAACACACCCCGACGTCTGTCGTGTGCAAGGGGCATCGAACCACTCCGGGATCAGCCACTGACAACAGCTGCGGCTGCTTGTGATCTGCTTGTGCCCTGGCGCTTTGGGTGCCTGGCCCTGCGTTCCCCTCCCCGCCCCCCTTCCCAGGGGACCCGGATATAAGGGCAGCTCATTGGCATTTAGTGTGGCTAAGAGAGGGATCTCCAGTGTTCTCGGGAGTCTGCAATTAACTCTGGTCACTGAAGTTACTTGGGACACCTCACTGGCCATCCTGAGTTTCAGAAAATGTGGGTGTTTACCATTAATCTACTGAGCTAGAAGAGGAGAGCCTTAGTTTACCTGGTATTCTAATAAACATATAAATGGGTAAATCAGGTGTTGCTACTTAAAGTAGGCTTTTGCCTTAAGCTAAAAAATCCTGCAGGAAAATCGACCAGAGAGCAGCGTGCCCTCCCCAGGGACAGTCATCTCTGGGGACACGGCAGGGGGACACGGCAGGGCTCCGCCTCGCTGCTCGGTGACAGCCACCCGCAGCCCAGAATCCGCAGGTCCCGCTTGACCTGGGAGCACAGAGAGGCAGGCGCGGGCGTCTCTGCTCTGCTCCAACCTGCACGTAACTGTTGGGCTTTGGGAGATTTCTCAAAGACGGTGGGACCGAGAAGTCCCGGTGAAACCACCCGCAGGCCAGCGACAGGGGTACCTGCCTGCGGGCAGGGCCTGCGTCCTGCCTGTCCCGTCCCGCACACCTGAGCGGCCGTGACAGGTGTGGTCACGCGCCTGCTCTCCGGTGGCACCGCGTTGCACGTTTCAAAGGCTGTCACCGCAACCCAAGCACGGTTGCCGTCACAACCACTCCTGTGAATTTCCTCCGTGCTGGATCCCTGAAACGAGTATACATTTATGATTACGCGTCTGTGGAAAGCCTCGTTGTAAAAGGCTCTTTAGACAGGTGCTGTAAGCTGATAAACACCCACCTGTCGAGATGCTGGATTCAAGCAGAAAGCTCTGTTTGGGTTGACATAGTTCTCCCTGCTGTTTTCCCCATACGGAGCCTCCAGGGCCCCAACAAAAGGAGGCTCGTTACTGCGGATGGACGTAAGAAAACAGGCGCCGTGTGGGAGGTCGGCTCCGTCCGCTGCTCCAGTTAAAGCTTTCCAAGCCGCTGACATCTTCCCGAGGAGGTGATCCAGAAGAACTTTCTCGAAGGGGACCGGCCTGGGGGGGGGGGCTCAGGTGGGCTCCCCTGTGGGTGACTTGCTGTGTAGACGCCCACATGTCCAGCTGGCTCAAACTGCACACTGAGGAGGAATAGTGGGGCACCCCTTCCTCCCCCACCCCGCCCCCGGCGCCTGCTCCGGCCCCAGGGTGGGATGTCTGGCATCTTCTTCCAAAGCGGTGGCCCAGGAAGGAGAAGTGCATGGCTCTGGAAATCAGAAATTTCACAAATAGCATCCGGTGAATAACTTAATTTTTCTACATGGCTGTCATCCTTCCCCCCCCCCAAATCTATGTTGGTTTTAAGTGTCTGGAGAGCTGAGAACATGAGTGAGTTCGTGTGACTGATTATCTGTTTAGAGAGGGTTAAATCTCATTTTCTCTCTTTGGTTTATGTTCCCCCTTTGACCTGGGGGTCAGGCCTGTTTTAATCATCTCTGCAAAAACAATCAGTTTTACAGGCATGCGAAGTTGACTAAAATCCAGCAAAACAAGAGTCTTTGAAATACCGAGTGTATTTGCAAGAGCAAAGGAAAACCTTGCATCTTGCGGTTGGTATAAACAAAACTGACTTACTCAGAATTCACCACTGCTATCTAATAACTTGGCGGACCACTGGGTGGAAATTTTTTGTGGGAATTGTAGTGAATTCTCACCAGTGTGGAACCGTTTGCATATTCGAAGGACTGCATCATATAAACCACATTGTTTTTATAAAGTCGGTAGGCTGAATTAGACTAAAATGTAAGATGCAAGATGCACTCATATTGGAAACACTGGCAGTATGTGAATGGCATTTAAAGGAATTGGTGTCTTTCTATTTCAAAGCTAAGAATGGATTTTGATTCTGATAACCTGCCCTTTTATCCACAATGTTATTTTTTTGACCAAGTGAGTGCAGTTTACACACAATTGTCTACTCCATCATTATTTTTATGCACCACTAAATGTGCAACCTGAGTTTTAAGTCTTAGCTATTAATGTTTAACATTCAGCCTGGACTTCATATATATTTAAGATTAGATATAAGTTAGATCAAGTATTTCTTATTTGCTCGAAAAGCAAGAGAATAGGGGAAAAGCCAGAAAATATTCTTGAAATTTAGCTACAGTTCCCCAAGTTTTCAAATCAACAGAGACAAATTGAATGCACTGTGCCCGTCAGTGCAATGAAGGGGCATTGGACCAAGGGAGCTGCTCACTGTGTCCAAGTGCCCGGCCCCGTCCTTGACCCCCACCACCAGCCTTGGCCACTGCCCGGCAGCCGGCGCCAGGCTCGGGGCGGAATCTGCATTTCAGGGGAAGCAGGGATCGCTGGACTGTAAACCGCTCCCCGATCACCAAGGCCCTGGACACACAGTCTGGAGAAGTCCTCGCTCGAGGACACTATTTACGGTCCCCCGAACACACTGGGACAAGTCTGGGTTTGGAGACCATAATTAGAAATTTTAAATGCCTTTTCTATGGAAACCCCTGTGATTAGATTTCACGCTGAGGGGTGTTCTGAAGACTCGTCCATTCTCCTGGGCTGCCTTACCTGGTGGGCTAACTTACCTGGTGGGTTGACTTACCTGGTGGGTTGACTTACCTGGTGGGTTGACTTACCTGGTGGGCTGACTTACCTGGTGGGTTGACTTACCTGGTGGGCTGACTTACCTGGTGGGTTGACCCACCTGGTGGGCTGACTTACCTGGTGGGCTGACTTTCCTGGTGGGCTGACTTACCTGGTGGGCTGATTTACCTGGTGGGTTGACTTTCCTGGTGGGCTGATTACCTGGTGCATTGAATTATCTGGTGGGATGATTACCTGGTGGGTTGTCTTACCTGGTGCACTGACTTACCTGGTGGGCTGACTTACCTGGTGCACTGACTTACCTGGTGGGCTGACTTACCTGGTGCACTGACTTACCTGGTGGGCTGACTTACTTGGTGCACTGACTTACTTGGTGCACTGACTTACCTGGTGGGCTGACTTACTTGGTGCACTGACTTACCTGGTGGGCTGATTACCTGGTGGGCTGATTACCTGATGGGCTGATCACCTGGGACCCACATGGCTCAGGGAGGCTCACTGAGGCAGTGACTCAGCACCACGGGTGCTTTGAGGCGCTGAGAAGGACTAGGCGCCCTGGGGGAGGCTGCCTCACGCCCTGCTTCTCTGCCCCGTGACCTCTGACACAGCAGGACGTGCCGAGGCCCCGCTTCCCCCTGCACCCCAGCCCACGTTGAAATCCTGACGGACCTTGACCTCGGCAGGGTCGCAGGGGAGCAGAGGCGCCCCAGACCAGGCGGGGGCGGGGAGTGAGCCCCAGGGAGGGAGCAAATGCAGACACACGGGGCTGCACCTTCTCAAGTTTTGTATCTCTGATTCCTAATTTCCAAAACCTAAACTTCACCACGGGGGTAAACCCCAGCCCCACCCCCTCATACCTGGGCCCGGAGCGAAGGTGCAGTTCAAAGTTGCCTTGTGCTTCCTGACAGCCCCACCCAGGGCCCGGGAAGGTGGGCCGTGTTTTGCGTTGCAAATGCACAGAGTCCATCATCTCTAGTGAAGAACAGGACAAACCCCTTATTCCTGAGCAAGCACACAGGCTTCCCTGCGAATTCTCAACACGGGCACATCCGCCTCTGCCGGTCTGTGCGCAAATCCTCACCAGGAAACACCAGGAAACACCCGTTCTCCCTCTCTCCGCCCACCTGACCCTCCACCGCGTCAGAAAATAAATAAGTGCAAAACGGCAGGAACCACTGACACTGATGAAAAGAATAAGAACGGTTGAAGATGCCAGGAAATGCCCCACTCTGCCCCTCCCCCCACCCCGGTGCTGCCTTCCCTGTGAACAGGAAGCGCCTTGGATGCGTATTTAGCCCTCTGAACCCGGCCCTCAACTCAGCCTTTGGAAGCGGGATATGAAAGGTTAATCACTTTGTTTACAAGGGAGAGATTCCTCCCTTTTCTGCGGTTGAGTTGGGGGTTTTGGGTTGTTGGTTCCCCTTTTTTTCCCCGGGGAAAAGGGGCGTCCTGCTCCCAGCGGTCGGCCGGGGTTCCTTCCTCATTCTCACCTACTTGGCGCCACACTGACCCCTTCCCAGCCCCTCACGGTCACGGCGGCTCCTGTGGCACACAGAGCAGGTGAGGAGGAGGCGGCCCCTCACCTGTGACTGCTCTTCCTCTGCCGGGCTGGGCTGCGGGCAGAGGCCACGTCCGTAAGATCCTGGGGACCCAGTCAATTCCAGGGTTGGAGATATTCACAGGAGGAGGAGTGGGCGGGTGGTCTCAATGGGACCACCAAGGAAGTGGGCGAAAGTGGGAGGAAGCAGGAGGGTGGTCTCAATGGATCCTACGACTTTCTGCACCGAGAGAGACTCGTCTGCTATTTTTCCGACTTTGAAGACAGTGTTAATCCTTGAAGGACTGGGCTGTGTGTTTGATATTGGCGGGGCGCCAAGGCCTCGGCTTCATATCCTCGCTCCTCCTGCAGGTGTCCCCAAGGCGGCCCACGGCAGCTCGGGTCCTGCCTTTTGTGGCCTCAATCACCCGCCAAGAAGCCCGATTCTCACCCAGAGACCCAGAGAATGTTGGCAGACTCCTGCCTGGTCTGAAAATTGACCGGGTATGGCCGTGGCGGCCACCTGCACGTCACATTGAGCAGGGCCAATGCTCTGTGGCTCCCCAGTGAGCCAGCTGTCACCCCCCGAGCCTCCCCTCTGAGCCACTCCCCGGGGAGGTCAGCAAAGTCTACGGAGAATCCCCCACCCTCGCCGCCACTCACCGCCCCTCGCCCCGCCCATTCCACGAGTTCCTGAATTCCCCGTGAGCCTGGGCCGGAGCAGACGGCACGTCCCGCACAGGCCTGTCCGTGTGCGGTCACTGGGGCGGCAGGGACAGCCGTGACCGGTGGCTCTGCACCGCTGGGAAACGCCAGTCAAGCTCAGAGACAGAAGCGGGTCTGTGAACACGACGCCCCGAGCTCAGACAGCCCCGGCTCCAGCGCTGAGCCAACTCAGGGCCCTTCAGAGCCGCACGGCTTCGGGCAAGAGCACGCGACTCAGAAAAATGAAAACCTGAGTCCAATTCACACGAAGTCTGACACCGGTGTATGGCCACTGTCAGACTGACCTGCGTCAGAAATCTCCTGCAGCTTTCTTCGGGGTGTTCAAGGCAACTTCCGGGAATTTGCAATGATCAGAAGTAACCCCCAAAGTGGCAATTGTAGCATGATTTTTTTTTTTTAAATACACAATTGGGAGAGAACTGAATTTTTATCACTCCTGGCATGGATTGAATCTAATCTGCTACAAACGTTTCTTCTATTTAAAGCAGACCGTGTATGTGTGAGGTAGGAAGAGCAATTTATCGAAGACGTGATCCAGTGTCCACGTACGCGGCTGACTGCAGTCTGCAGCCTGTCCCACCGCGCCCTGCGGACAGGCGGGAGCTCAGTCCCAGCACGCAGCGCAAAATAGAAGCTCGGGCGAGGGCCTGCGGCCGGTCAGAATCTCTCGAGGGAAGTAAGAGGAGCTCAGCTCATAGCAGGCCGAGCACAGGGACCCTGACAGGCTCACCCCAGTGGAGAGGGTATGGCGGGCACGGGACCCCGGAACTGGTCCCGACATCAGTCTCCAGCCAGCGTCAAGTCAGGCTCTGCTTCCTGACTCCCTCTTTGTGTCTGTCTCTGTCTCTATCTCTGTCTCTGTGTCTGTCTCTCTCCCCTCACTCCCCATGTCTCCATATGTCTGCCCCATTGTGATTTTTCCACCTGGCTTCCTTCTTCAAACAGTTTTCTTCCACATCCCTGGATGGTCCACCCAGATTTATGTGATTCCAGATTAATAACCTCAGGAAAAGAAGATTCTCCTTTCTCATTCAGAAACCTTCTGGTTCCGGGACCCTTGGTTCTGCGAGGGTCACAGATTCACCCGCGGGGGCCACCCGCGTGGCCGTGGGCTGCACCTGCCCCACCAGGTGTGCCCACACACCCATCGCCGTGGCTGCTGCGGGGGGGGGGGGATGTGCAGGTGTTGAATGGCCGCAGAGCCTGAGCCCAGCCAGCAGAGTGGACAGGCCGCCAGGGCCCAGGGCCGCAGAGAAGGGCAGGGCCGATCCCTGCAGAAGCGACCGGGGCCAGCAGGCGACACTCGCCCAACCCGGCAGGTCCGAAACGCAGGTCAGGGGGCAAGAGTAACAACCCTGCCCTGGTCTCTGGCCTAGACCCTGAGTCCCATAACTAGAACATCCCTGAACCCAGTCAGATATTGGAGGATCGTCAATAATCCAGGTCCCCTTCACTGACCTGGTTTCTTGGTTTCTACAAAATAAAACTAAATTATTATGCATGTTATTCTTCATTTGGTCAAATGAGTTCTAAAGATTCCCCCAGGCAGTCGTGAGCCAGACTCTGACCCGTCATCACGAAACGGAAACTCCCCGTAGCGGTTGCCTCCGTGGACCCGGGCAGACCCCACGCCTCCTCTGCTCACGTACGCACACTCCCGTGGTAGACACCACGCATCCGGCCTCGGATCCGAGTATCTTCCGGACTATCGTAAACCCACCAGGCGCTGCAGACAGATATGCAACCCCAGCACCGAAGCACATCGCAGCCATCTGTACGTTCTGAGCCGCGCCCAGGCGCCAGGGGTCTGGGGTACGTTTAAATCAAAGACCGGGTTTGCAGAAGCTGGAAATTACTCGCCCGTCGGAAAGCTGGCCGTGGCCACTGCCCACACGTCTCTCCTCGCGTGCGCCTGTCCCGGAGGACTCTGCCCGGCTCGCCCGAGCTGGCCTGCTGGTGGTGGGGGCCTCTGCCGAGGGCCGTCCCTCCTCGGCGCGGCCGACCCGAGCTCCTCGCGGGCTGCAGCGCGCAGCAGTGGGGCTGGGCGTGCGCCGAGCTCGCGGAATGGTGCTAGGGGCTGCGGTGAGAGAGGAGGTGGAAAGACTGCACCCCACACGGCCAGTTTGTGTGACTCACAGTCACGGCCCGGGACTGGCAGGCTCTTAAACTCCGGCGCGTGGAGGGAATCGCTGTTCTCCGAGCTCCCTGTAGTGCAGAGCGTTGGCTGGGGTTTAGGCTCTCTTTAGGATGTCAACGGAAAACAGCCAAACTCTGTAAAATAATTTTAAAGAGATTTATTCTGAGCCAAATTTGAGGACCATGACCCGGAGCCACTGCCAAGAGGCCTTGGGCAGGTGGGCTCGCTGTGGCTGGGTGACAGTTCGGTTTTATACATTTTCAGAGAGACAGGGGTTACAGGCAAAGTCACAAATCAGTACATGAGAGGCACACATTGGTTTGGCCCAAAAAGGTGGGACATCTCGAAGCGGGGGAGGGGGGGTTGGGGGGGTGCTTACAGGTTATAGGTGGGTTTAAAGATTCTTTGGCTGGCAATTGGCTGAGAGAGTTAGACTTTATCTAGAAGACCAGAAAGGATATGCTTATTTTAGGATAAGGGTGTGAGCACTCTGGGAGGTCCAGACAGGAGGACGTTTTAAATTTACAATAGGCGCCTGCTAGGATGCTTTAAGATATTTTAAATTTATGATAGGCATCTGCTAGGATGCTTGAGTTAAGACAGGGGCTTCCTATCTTTTAGGTGATGTTAATGCCATACCAGAATCAGGTTGGCGCTTAGTGGGAATTTGCCGTTTGTCAGCCTGACCCAGCTGGCCTCCTTAGGAAGGAGTTTTTAGCAAAAGAAAAAGATCAGAGTTCAGTCCTCAAGGAGAACACATGACCTTCCCCATGGGGAGTTTTCAGTTCACAGGGCATGAGCTCACAGCAGGGCAAACTGCCTGGCAACTGAGACCAGGTGTCAGCAGGGCCCGGCCGTGGGACCACCCGACTCTCAGCTGCCCGGAGCCCTCCCTGCACAAGAGCCCTTCGGTGGTGACCCAGCTCCTCCTCCGTCCTCGAGACCTTCTCCCCACTTCTTTTTTTTTAGACAGAGTCTCACTCTGTTGCCTGGGGCTAGAGTGCCGTGGCGTCAGCCTAGCTCACAGCAACGTCCAACTCCTGGGCTCAAGTGATCCTCCTACCTCAGTGTCCCAATTAGCTGGGACTACAGGCATGCAGCACCACGGCCAGTTAACTTTTTCTATATATTTTTAGTTGGCCAATCAATTTCTTTCTTTTTTTTAGTAGAGACGGGGGTCTTGCTCTTGCTCAGGCTGGTCTCGAACTCCTGACCTTGAGCGATCCTCCCGCCTCGGCCTCCCAGAGTGCTGGGATTACAGGCGTGAGCCACCGCGCCCGGCTCGCTCCCAACTTGTGTGTGTGAAGGAGGGAAATTTACCAGTGAGACAGCCCCACACTCCTCATAACAACCCACGCGGAAACATAAAAATTACTCAGATGTAAAGGCGAAAGGATAATGGTGACAAATGCAAAGGAATAAAATGCTTTTTTATTAACTTAAATTCTTTCCAGCCCAGCGTCTGTGCTCTTTCGTTCTACAGTGTCATTTTGTGCAAGTATGTGTGCAAAATTCCAGAATGTGTTCGATTATCAGTGCTTTAAATTGGAAGCAAGTATATACTAAAAAGCAGAGAAA